TACTTCGTGGAGTCAGAAATAGTCAAAGACACTCTTCAAGACATCAAGGAGTCAATAACACACACAAAGACATCAAAGTTACTCTTCGAGACATCAAGGATACACCCAAAGACATCAATAACACACCCAAACACTTCAATAACGCACTCAAAGACAAAATGTTATTCTCAGTCATCAATGTTATTCTCTAACTCACCTTCGTTCATCAAAGTTGTTCTCTAACTCACCTTCGTTCATCAAAGTTGTTCTCTAACTCACCTTCGTTCATCAAAGTTGTTCTCTAACTCACCTTCGTTCATCAAAGTTGTTCTCTAACTCACCTTCGTTCATCAATGTTATTCTCTAACTCACCTTCGTTCATCAAAGTTGTTCTCTAACTCACCTTCGTTCATCAAAGTTGTTCTCTAAGACATCTTCAGGCATTAAATAACACTCCCAAATGTAACTAGTTCAGCTTTTCATATCAAACTTACACTTCTGTTAACATTTATTTTCTTAGTCATTTTATCTTAAAACTGTTCTCTGAGCAACAATGCATCATCCTATCTAATCTATCCTATTACTCCCCTACCTTATGTAACTTAGTTAATCAAACTTACCTAACTTAACCTTATCTAACCTAACCTTGCCCTACATTACTAAACTTAACTTACATAACCTAACCTAACCTATTCTAACTTAACGTTACTTACCTAATCTAACTTAACTTACCTATCCTAACTTACTTTACTAACTTACATTATCTAACCTATCCTAACTAGCTTAACTTACCTAACCTAACGTAGCTCACATAACCTGTCAACGGAATAAAAACACTTCCACCTGTTGCATTATTTACATTAATAATAATTCATACAAGAGAATGATACGTGTTTTGGTTACACAGTAACTTATGACTTACGACTGTATTAGTGTCAGTGGGAGCTTGGGCGAGCAGGTCCCGAGGCTCCACTGTGTGGGACCATCAGTGGACACGGGTCAGTGGGAGCTTGGGCGAGCAGGTCCCGAGGCTCCACTGTGTGGGACCATCAGTGGACACGGGTCAGCGGCGGGTGGATGAATGAGCATTTATCCTGTGTTCTGAGGATCAGTTGCTGGCGGTGGGGTGTAATATTTGGTGCTGTCCACTCTTCACACGCCCGCGGTCCACCACAAGCCTCTGAGTCACGCCCGCGGTCCACCACAAGCCTCTGAGTCACGCCCGCGGTCCACCACAAGCCTCTGAGTCACGCCCGCGGTCCACCACAAGCCTCTGAGTCACGCCCGCGGTCCACCACAAGTCTCTGAGTCACGCCCGCGGTCCACCACAAGCCTCTGAGTCACGCCCGCGGTCCACCACAAGCCTCTGAGTCACGCCCGCGGTCCACCACAAGCCTCCGAGTCACGCTCGCGGTCCACCACAAGCCTCTGAGTCACGCCCGCGGTCCAACACAAGCCTCCGAGTCACGCCCGCGGTCCACCACAAGCCTCTGGAGTCACACGTTACAAGCCACCCTCGGGCAGCTTAACCACCCGACCAGCATGAGGTCACTCGCTATACTGGATAAAATGCTTCACACTGAGTTCTCCCTGAACCAGATCCGAATAATCACTGAGCAGTCCGTCCCAACGTGTCCTCGACTCAAGTCCATAACATTCAGCGGTCAACCCCAGGGACGGCCCAGCCCGTCCTCCAAACAAAGACCCAAAAGGGATTCCATGTACCCGCCAAACCCCCTGTTTATGAATGAAAAACGGTTTACACAAGACTCACTACTGATTTCGTTCGAACACTTCCGGAACAAGTGCTTCACTGACAAATTTTGTTCGAACCACAACGCTGTAAATGCTTCACCCACGTACAACAAATACAAATAATCGCCAACAGAACCTAAACACCTAACCTAACCTATGCCTTTGCCTATATAAGCACAATATCCTAATATAATATAATATTATTTTCTATTTAAGAAAATGCCCGTTTTAATGAACAGCATGTAAAAAATGTTGAATGTGTCTGTGGAGTCGACCGCTGGATCTCGACATAAATCGAGGACGGTCTGTCGTTGAATCATCCACACCTGACTTTGGAATGGTTGTCTCAACAGCTTGTCCTCATAAACACAACTTGTCTTCATAAATACAGTCTGTCCTCATAAACAAAACTTGTCCTCATAAAGACAGTCTGTCCTCATAAACACAACTTGTCCTCATAAAGACAGTCTGTCCTCATAAACACAACTTGTCCTCATAAACACAGTCCATTCCGACAGTCCAAGAGAATGTAGTCTGCCCACCCTTCTGTTTCTTGCCTAATATTTGTTGCTTGGTCATAGAACTCTATTATACCTGTGAGGCACGATTTACCGTCTCTGAACCCATAATGGTGGTGTGTTACAAATCTATTTCCCTCAAGATGCTCTACGAGCCTTTTCCTCACGATCTTCTCCATCACCTTGCATGGTGTACAAGTTAGGGGTTCTAGTTCAGTACGTCTTGCCTGTCACCCTTTTTGTATATT